ACAAGTACCTGTGGAGTCGTGCTGCTGAGCGCGACGACCGAAGATACTCCTGCAGTGGGCAATTTCAAGTATGCAAAGTCCCTGCTCGGTTCCCACTGCAGAGGAGAGACTGTGATCTCAGCACGCTTGCTCGAAGCTTCGCATGACACACCACTTACCATCTCTGACAGACCTCCAGGCAGGTAGCTGCTCACGCCACCGGCCGCCCTGGCCATGGCCATTGACCGTCTTCGCAACGTACCGCTGACAGGTAGCAAGAGAGTGTGTTTCAACGACCGAAATTCTAGGCCCGAGGAACCCAGTCTCTAGTGACACTCACCTGAGACCTCCACCCTTCTTCTTGTCGCTAATGAATGCCTCGTAGCCTCCTGGTCCGGCGCTCGAAGCTTCGCTGCCTTCAAAGCTGGGCGTGGGGCTAGAGCCGCTGTCTGGTCCAATCGCAGGCCTTGCAGTGTTGCCATTGCTTGATGATTGGCCAGCAAGCTTAAAGATGTGGACTGTTTCGGTGTCGCTAGAGACGCAGAGAAGCGTGCTAACTGCATTGAAGCTATCGAAAGATCAAGAAGTCAGATAAGCTGAGAAAGCAGTCAAAAGCCGCCGCACTCAGGATCTGACGTACCTGATGTTATATATTCTGGCTGGTCGACTACCGCGCCTAAATTGGTATAATTTCTGAGGAGAGGGTGATCCCGCAACGAACAGGCCTCAGCTCCTCTGGGAACCGACGTGGACATGGCAAATAGCAATCTGGGACAGCCGAAACCTACCTGTGCTCCAGGGACTGAGAAGACGCGCACAACAGTGCCCTTGTCACTCGCGGTTGCAAGCATGGTTCCTGTCGAGTTAAAGGCGAGGCACGAGATGGGTGTCTTGTGTGCTTGAATGATGTTGACCACAGTCAAGCTGGTCAGATCGAAGATGAGTACGTCTCCCGGCGTCGAGGTGGTGCTTGTGTTGTTGTTGGCGAAAGGAGATGTGGGAGAAGGCACAGGGGAAGGGTACGCGAGGTAGCAAGGTTCGGAGCAGGGCGTCAGAGCGCATACAGCCTGAGGATTGGGGCTTGTTTCGATGGTGTGCAGCAGTCTCATGGTTGAGATCGAATAGATGAAGATCTCTGTTTCTGTGACCACTACTACGCGTTGCCTATTGAGCTTGACAGCGAGCACAGCAGTGGGAAACAGCAAGCTGCAGATCGTTGTTTGCCGTTTTGTGTTGACGATTTCCAGTCTCCTGGGCGAGCTTTGAGGTGACGAG